GGTAGGAGGACCCCCTACACCCGGAAGGCGACGAGTCAGCGAGCAAAGGTTACAAAAACCCGAGACGAACCATTTTAGGGGCTTCTTCTTTTTGGCTTTGGGCTTTTTGCCTATTCGATCCGATTCGATTCTATTCGGATCTATTACACTATTCTTATTAATGTCATTACATTAGTATTACAATTGCGGTATTCTTCTTCCTTCTTTCTTGCCTGCCTGCCTGTCTGCCTGCCCCAGCGGGCATTGTTTTTAACTAGAATTCCTGGTGTTTCCATTGGCATGAAGGGAGAAGTAAACACACACTATTGACATATAATGATTTTTCTCAGTTAATGACATGATTTAAAGTAAATGTGATCGTTTTGACTCAAGTTATAATGGAAATTGAGACACTGTTAAAATTGTTTGTCATACATATTTAACATTAACAGTTCTCTGATATAATTAAGATTATTATGATGTCCTAGTGAAGCATCATATATTTCGAGGGAGTGAGTGCCTGATTCTTATCTTCAGGTGAAATCTTGGAGAATTAGAAGACCTCAAAGGAGACTGCTGCTTGGGTTTCTTTGCATCACTCTTATATGAATTGTGTTGCCACCATACAAATCTGACAATGAATATGGAAATGTTTTAGTGATGTGTTGTGTTCTTGTGATATGAAGAAAATGGATCCAGTACTGGTCATGATACATAGAACAAGTGCGTCTTAATGACAGTGGAAATGAAACCTCCTCAACATAACATCATTTTTGAGGTAAGCTGAAGAGCAGCAAAATATTTTATAGGAGTTATATTAGTCGTTCTCTTGTTTTAGACTAATTTTTCATGCACTGAATTTTGGGTATAAGGTACTTGTTGTTGTTTCCTTGTAGGGTTCTTCCTCAATGTGATACTTGCCAGTGTGCCTCATCCTGCTTGTAGCTTCCTCTTTGAGCCTGCGTGATTGCTTTCCTACTGTGACATCCATGCAGCCATCGCTATTCTTACCTAGTATGCATGTGGCTTCCATTGGACAAATGAAATAAAATGCTCACTATTTCGTTTGCATGAAATTTTTCACTTGGTATCGTAAGATAAGAAAATGTGATGTAGATGATTCAAATTGTAATGGAAATTGGTAACTGTTAAATAGTATGTGATGTACATATTTGATTTAGAGTTTTCTCTCTTATAGTTAATGTAATTAATATTTGTCATTCGTATGTATTAGCTGAGCATCAGGCCATATTCTGGGGACTAATATAGCATGGGAAGTTGCTGGTTGTGGTAGGCATGTGTCATCCTGAATAGAATTCAGCCGCAATGTGTCGATTCAGACTGAATAAGCAGGCAAATTTAGAGGAATCTGGTGAAGGGTGTTGGTGAAAATTGATCTACTCGTGAGTATGTAAGAGCGACATAGGTGGTCGTAGTGACTGTGGAAATGATACCGCCACAACATTCCATCATCTACGAGGCGAAGTATATCAGCATTCTCTTCTGCAGGAGTCATCTTAATTCTTCTCTTCACTTAGTCATGATTTCCACGTGTTACATGTTGAATTTTAGTTAATAGATCTCAGTTATGTCATCGTTTATCCCTTCAAGTGTCAGTGTCTTGATGAATCTCGCATATCTGCATCTGTTTTCCTTAGGCTCGATTCCTGCGTGCATGCCTATTCTTCAGCATGAATAAACCTGCTTCTTTATTCTTCTTCCTTCTTGCTTGCCTGCCTGTCTGGCTGCCTGTCCCAGCTGGCATTGTTTTTAACTAGAATTCCTGGTGCTTCCATTGGCATGAGTGTAGAAGGAAACACACACTATTGACTTATCATGATTTTTCTCAGTTAATGACATGACTTAAAGTAAATGTGATCAATTTGACTCAAGTTATAATGGAAATTGAGACACTGTGAAATTGTTTGTCATACATATTTAACATTAACTGTTCTCTGATTAATTAATTTAATTACGTATTTATTATTATGATGTTCTAGTGAAGCGTCACATATTTCGAGGGAGTGAGTGACTCATACTTTTCTTCGGGTGAAATATTAGAGAATTAGAAGACCTCGAAGGAGATTTTTCCTTGGGGTTCTTTGCATCGCCCTTATATATACTGTGTTCCACCATACAAATCTGACAATGAATATGGAAATGTTTCAAAGATACATTGTGTTGTTGTGATATAAAGAAAATGGATCCAGTACTGGTCATGATACATAGCACAAGTGCGTCTTAATGACAGTGAAAATGTCACTTCTACACCGTAACATCATTTTTGAGGTAAGCTGAAGAACAGCAAAGTATTTTATAGGAGTTATGTAAGTTGTTCTCTTCTTTTAGTGTTATATTTTAGCGTCCTGTTTCACTGACCTAAGTCCATGATTTATTTCAACCGTCTTCCAGTGCAAACACTCATCTATCTCCTCCTCTAACTCGCACTACATGTTTCGGCACAAAAGTGCCATCTTCAGGTGCTTATTCGATTTACGCTAAACTAGTTAATTGCATGCTTTGCGTCTTCATATTAAAAATAAGTAAAATCTATATTTATCATATATATTGATAAATGTGAAATGTTAAAAATATTAAAATTGTTCAGGATTTTTCATCCCAACGTCGTTTTTCACTACGTGAGTCACACCGATCCTCTTCTGTTGGAGCACTCTTTCACTATTGTATCTGTAACATGCATTTGTTATTCATTAATACCGCGTTCCATATTTTATTTAGTACTTGTTATATTATAATTATTAATTTTTAATACTCACTCTGTTATTGTTGTGTCTTGCTCCTGCGACTGGCGTGTGTTTTACTGCTGGGCCTGCTGGGTATGTGTGTGTGCTATCTTCGTTTTGAGTGAGTTATGATGATGTGGGCATAGATGTGGTGGGGGGTAGGTCGTGGGGTGTTGTTATGTTGTTCTGTGTAGATAGTGCTTAATTCGTGGTATATTGGGTTATATATTTCTTTATTTATATTATTCATGTGTGTGTTTTGCTTTGTCGTTCTATATATATGGTAGTTCTCAAATGTGTTCAAGTATTGCCCCTTCCTACCTGTTGCTATGATATCCATAGTGTTTTCTATAGTACCATATGCATGTCCTGTGTTTAATATGTGTTCTGAGTATTCTGTATTGCTGTTATTGTGTCTTATGTCATGTATATGTTCCTTATATCTGGTATTAAATTTCCTCCCGTTTTGTCCAATATATTCCTTGGGGCTATCTAGGCATTTCATACTATATATGCCGCTGTTGTTATATTTATTTATTTCTGGTCTTGATTTTAGTATATGTTGTAAATGTTCTTATTTCTAAATGCTATTTTTAATTTTGTGTCTCGAAATAATTTTGTGATATTTCTTGTTTCTTTTCCTATATATGTGAATGTTGCCCATTTCTTTTTTGTTCTTCTGAATCCTCTGTAATGTTCTGCTTTTTTGCAATGTTTGTTTTCTGTTACTTGAATTTAGTTTTGTAATTATATCTGTGTTGTACTTGTTATTTATGAGTACGTTGTTTATAGTTTCTATCTCATTATCTTATGCTACTCTGGTGATGGGGTAGTTACTTACTCGATCTATGAGGTATTTAATACCAGATATTTTGTGTTCATGTGTGTGACATGAGTCACTTGTTATTATTATGTCCGTTGCAGTGTGTTTTCGGTGGATTGAGAATTGTAATTTTTCCATTTCTCTATATATTTCTATATCTAAGAAATTTATAGATCTATGGTTCTCTTTCTCTATTGTGAAATTTATATTTGGCTGCAGTTTATTAAATTCCACAATCATGTTGTTAATATTTGTTTCTTTAGAATTATTTTTCATGCACTAAATTTTGGGTATAAGATACCTGTGCGTGTTTCGCTGTAGGGTCCTTCCTCCAAGTGATACTTGCCAGTGTGCCTCATCCTGCTTGTAGCTTCCTCTTTGAGCCTGAGTGATTGCCTTCCTACTGTGACATCCATGCAGCCATCGTTATTCTTACCTAGTATGCATGTGGCTTCCATTGGACAAATGAAGTAAAAATGCTCACTATTTCGTTTGCATGAAAATTCTCACTTAGTATCGTAAGATAAAAATATGTGATGTAGTTGATTTAAATTGTAATGGAACTTGATAATTGTTAAATAGTATGTGATGTACATATTTGATTTTGAGTGTTCTCTCTTATAGTTAAGGTAATTAATATTTGCCATTCTTATGTTTTAGCTGAGCGTCAATGTATATTTCTGTGAAACTAATGAATTTGTTGTCCTTCAGGCCATATTCTGGATACTAATATAGCATGGGAATATGCTGGTTCTGGTAGGCCTGTGTCATCCAGAATACAAGTCAGCCGAAATGTGTCAATTCAGACTGAATGAGCAGGCAAATTTAGTGGAATCTGATTAAGAGTGTTTGTGAAAATTGATCTACTCCTGGGTATGTAAGAGAGACATAAGTGGTCATAGAAACAGTGGAAATGATACCGCCACAACCTTCCATCATTTACGAGGTGAAGTATATCAGCATTCTCTTCTGCAGTAGTCATTTAATTCTTCTGTTCACTTAGTCATGATTTCCACGTGTTACATGTTGAATTTTTGTTAACATATTTAATAATGCTGTCAGTAACTCAGACTTTACAGTGTCAGTCAAATCACAGGGTGATCAGTGAACAACGAAGTTGAAAGGACATGCAAAAAGTAACAGTGGTCTGATCTGAGGTACCGGACGCAAGTTACTGGTCAGTGTCACATCCCCACACACTTCCATATACAGGCAACAGATCTCCAGTATCCACTGGATGGTTCTAGAGTGTCTTGACACAGTGATGAGAAAAATGCTGCCCCCGCCCGGAATCAAAACATTAACTCTTTGACTTGCGCGAAGGGTATTTAAATCCCACCCCTGCCCTGGCAGGCCCTTTAAACCTTATGTCGCTAAAATGCATGTAGTTACTTTTTTCTAAACAACTTCAACAAAAATTNACACCGGCTACGTATACAGTCAACGTCAGATTGCAGAAGATTACAATCTTCGGGACAGCTAATAGCACGGTAAATTTTAATGCCGTCTGCAAAGAGTAGGTACCTGGAGTGCTTAATTGAATCACACAAGCCGTTTATGTAGACATTGAAAAGCAGAGGCCCAAGAACAGATCCCTGTGGAACACCGGACAATACTTCAAAGGGTGATGAAATAGTTTCACCGATAATAATAATAATACTTACTTATGGAGCTGAACCCTTCTTGAGGAGAAGCCAGATCTGCAGCTACTCAAGAATTTGCCAGCATTTCAGGGAACCTGAATGTTCATTACTGTGTTCACAAGAGCCCTCCACTGGTACCTATCCTCAGCCAGATCAGTGCTTCATCAAACTGCAAAATCCACATTCTGATAGTAATGACTGTACCTATTTCATGTGTCAGATGATGCACTAATATAATATATCTTATAACAAGGCTGCGAGTGGTCTGAGGGAGACGCACAATAATCAATCTATGGAACTGCTTTCTGTGCTCTTGGAATAGTTAATCGACATGACAGTAATGCCATGAATTTGTAAAAAGTCTGCTGCAGCTACCAAACATTACAAAACTATTTCCATAACTTGCATGCAGAGATAAAGGTTGAAATTGTATTACTCACTAAACTGCATACAGATATCAAATTTTTCTTCAACTTATTTATACCCACATTCCATATGTCTCAATCTCGTGTGGTGTCATGATTTCTTATAAACATTCACTACAGCATGCTTTAAATCATATTCAACAGTCAAGGCAGAAAATAAAGCAGGTTTACTTAATGATGCTGTCAGTAACTCAGACTTTACAGTGTCAGTCAAATCACAGGGTGATCAGTGAACAATGAAGTTGAAAGGACATGCAAACAGTAACAGTGGTCTGATCTGAGGTACCGGACGCAAGTTACTGGTCAGTGTCACATCCCCACACACTTCCATATACAGGCAACAGATCTCCAGTATCCACTGGATGGTTCTAGAGTGTCTTGACACAGTGATGAGAAAAATGCTGCCCCCACCCGGAATCAAAACATTAACCCTCTGACTAGCGCGAAGGGTATTTAAATCCCACGCCTGCCCTGGCAGGCCCTTTAACACAAGGTAATCTGCATATTTCACAGTTTGAATAATTCGCCCTCCTAATTTGAAGTCTCCAAGCCCGTCCAGAGCTTCCTTGGTAAGGCATTTGCGTACAAGTTGAACAAAGTTGGTGATAAACAGTATCCTTGTCGAACTCCTCTTCCAATCTTCACACTTCTTGTCTCCCCTCTGTAAGTTGCATTCTAACTTTCTGATCCATGTACAATTTACTAAGCCATCTTCTTTCACGCCAATAAATACCTGTTTCCTTTAGGATCTGCATTAATTTGGTTTTGAATACATATGGAAACATAACTAATTAAAATGGAAGTTAACTATTAAAAGTGAATCATCATTGAACCAAATTTTAATCTTTATTAAATAAATAAAGAATAAGAAATAATTATGTAACTACTTACTTTTAACGAGATTGTTGATCTTGTCGGCCCTTACAGGGGTCCTGGATATCTGGCTTAATATTGGTCAACTTCAGTCGAAGATCTGCAATCACACTAAGACGATTTCTGTATTTCGTTTTTAAATAAAGGAGCGACGAAAATTCTTTCTCATAAAGATAAGTTGTTGAAAACTGCATGGCGAATTTCAATGCTTCTTCAGATAATTCGGGAAATTCACTTATCACTGAAGATCCACAATCGGACCACACAAAGATCACGGAATTGCATTTTAAACCCACTGTCACTTGAAAGCTCAATGTACTGTTCTTTTTTCGATAACGAAAGATCGTGATCATGACTGTAAGCCTGAAATGGATCGCGAACCCACAGAAATCTCTCATAAAAGTTATTCGGAAAATATGTTTCAAATTTTTGTTCCAACATATCCCCTCCCTCTAAATTTACAGAGGTTATTTGGAAAGTAAAGATAAAAAGTCCGGAAAATATATTTAAAGCATTTTGGGGGAAGGATTCAC